CATGAAGAAATCTTCTTTACAACGAGACAGTAGATTGGACATCTCCAATTTATTATCATACTCTTAAAGTTGGAGGAGACCTTAGTGAACATCTAGCCTAAATTCCTTGTTTTATAGATGAGAAAATGGAGGCCAGTGGAGGTTAAAATGACTCCGTCAGAATCAATGAGCTAATTCAGCATTAGAACTGAAACTACAACTCAGACTTTCTAATTCCTAGGCCATTGCTTTTTCAACCATTTGGGCCATTTAAAACTATTAGTGCGAAGCTCTCTTAGCTGAGAACGTTTGCCTCAGAAAGTTCTCAAAGCCCAACTGTCCCTAATGGGTTGTTTTGCTTACACAGACTTCTGTTACAGAAAACACCTAAGCAAAGACCTAGATGTTGATGATGTGGTTTCATTGTCATGAACTAGGAATGGTCTCAGTAGACTCTTGGTCTTCCTAAGTAACTATTTTCAGAAAGACCAAAAATAACTACTCTAAAATTAAAACCCTTATTTTTTGAGATGACATCCAGAATTTATTTAGTTCATTGTCAACAATTCCATAAAAGTTTGATCATTTTGTTACAAAGAGGTACATCTGGCAACTTCTTAGGTTTCCCAGAAAGAAAATGTTCCTCAAAATCATGGTTCATGGGTATGTTATAAAAGTTTTCTGTGTCTATGGTAGGTAACCAGTATTTTCTGCTTTGAAATGTTTCCAGACTACCATCTTGGCCATGTATTAGGAGGGATAGGATTTAGGTATTTTCATCTTTGTACAGTTAAGGCGTTTTTGGATACAAGTAATAGAAAACCCAGCCCAGCCTTGCTTAAGTAAAACAGGCTCCCATAAACGAAAAAGTCCAAGAGTAGTTCTGACTTGAGACACAGGTGTATCTGTGCATATGATATAATCAGGACTCGTTTCTGATCATACGGTTTTGCCTTCTGACACAGGTGTCATGTGGTAACAAGATGGCCATGTCAACTCCAGCTATCACGTCCTCTCAAGCATCAAACCTCTTTCCAAAAATCCCTGGCAAAAGTATCTCTGACTGGCCGTGAACCCAATCTGAATCAGTCCCTGTTGTTAGCTGCCATCGAGTCAGCCTCCTATTCCCAGGGGCCCCATGCACAATAGAATGAAACACTGGCTGAAACTTGTTCAACAAGCTTCCAGTGACCGACAGGTTATATATAGTTGCACATGAGAGGCGTCGGGAGGAAATCAAACTGGTCGCATAGAAGGTGAGAATTCTACCACTGAACCACCATTGCCTCCATAAATCTATCACTAAGACCAGGAAGTATGATGTACTGACTGGCTTAGGCCCAGGTAACATGCTTCACCCGAAGAATCAGAGGTGGAGTCAGCTTTACCAGAACCACTTGAGAGTTGGGAACTAGTTCCTCAGAGGGAAATCTGTGTAAGATTATCAGAAGGGTGGGTAAATGAATGAATTAATGCAGCAAAAACAACAGATGTCCATTACAACTATTCATGTATTCATGTGCCAGAACTGTTAGCTTCCTAAGAAAAATCCTGACTTTGCCCTTGGGTCTTCATTAAGACTTTCTTCCAAGGTCTGAGCAGTCCTGCAGTAAAGAACCCTGTCTACATTTATTTGATAGAGCATTTCTCAAACTGAACACAGAACCTTTTTTAACGTAATTGCAGGATTGCTTTTACTGAATTGCACTGTACTGGCATTTTATACTGAGAATCTAAGATGCAGCACTCTGCAACTTGTAACATGTAAACCTGTCTGGTTTGTTGGCTTGCACACAAATGATAACCTTCAACCTTGTATTAGCATAAGCAAAAGCATCTACTTAGCTTTAAGGATGTGGGTAGAGGGCAGAGAGATCCACTAGAAAAGGGATTCAGCAACCAGAGGAACCTCTATCATGTTGACACGAGAAACACGCAAATCTGTGGAGTTGGATGAGTTGGGGAAGTTTCCTTAAGTCTTTGAGGTGCTTTCTACATAGGATGACCATATGCTTTATTGTTCAAACTGAGACACTTGTAAATGTGAAAGGGGTATTATTAACCAGGTGGGGTGCGGAGATAACAAGCATAAACTGGAACTCTGCCAGGCAAACTGGGGCATATTTCTAGGTGTGTGGCACCAGTGAAACCTAGCTAACAATGCTTATCTGAATACATACAATATAGAGTACATACTCTGTGCCCATAGAATATGTCTGAATCCATTCAGCTCATTTGTAGCTTTGAACTGCCCTTGTGGAGTTGTGTCTGGGCACATCCCAGCATACTTTCATTGCATTTATTATCAGAATGCTTCACAGTGTCATTTTTGTGAGAGGATCTTTGTGAGAAATTCTTACCTGATCTTAGTACCAAGAATAATTGTTCTTCCTGTATCTGGATTTGTTTTAATCTTACGGACATTGTGAATGGTATATCTGACCAGGTGTCTCTTTCTCTTTTGGCTACTGGAAAGCTTAAAGTTAAATGAGTGGCCTACCCCAAGTAAGTGTGGAAGTCATTGGGGCGTGCATTTGTAGCCCCATGCTTGACTCTGTTTTGTACCCCCACCCTTGGGCTTCTCCCATGTAACTTTTAATTTACACTACTGTCATGGATTGAATTGTGTCCCCTAAAAATATGTGTCAACTTGGCTAGGCCATGATTCCCAGTATTGTGTGATTGTCCACCATTTTGTCATCTGATGTGATTTGCCTGTGTGTTGTAAATCCTACCACTATGATGTTAATAAGGTGGGATAGGTGGCAGTTATGTTAATGAGGCAGGACTCAATCTACAAGATTGGATTGTGTCTTTAGTCACTGTCTTTTGAGATATAAAAGATAGAAGCGATCAGAGAGATAGGGACCTCATACCTCCAAGAAAGCAGCGCTGGGATTAGAACACATCCTTTTGACCCGTGGTTCCTGCACAGAGAAGCTCCTAGTCCAGAGGAAGATTGATGGCAAGGACCTTCCTCCAGATAGAAAAAGCCTTCCCCTGGAGCTGACACCCTGAATTTGAACTTCTAGCCTACTAGACTGTGAGAGAATAAACGTTTGTTTGTTAAAGCCATCCACTTGTGGTATTTCTGTTATAGCACCACTAGTTAACTAAGACAACTACTTGGTACCTTTGAAGTCACTGTGATCAATCCCTCTTTCCAAAATCTGAACATTCCTGCAGTTAAGAACCCTGTTTAAATTTATTTGATCCAGCGTTTCTCAAACTGAACACAGACCTGTTTTTTATGTAATGCCTATTTACAATTCTGTGGAATACACTGAGTTAAGATTTCAAAATGAATTAAAACAATTTATCACAGAAGTTTAGGGCTTTGTATCTAAGTGTGTTAATGAGGTTAAGTTCTTATGCTTTCAATTCACTGTTGCATTAACCACCGTTTTCCAGGTCCACCTTCTAATGCCTCCATACTTCATGCAGAGAAGCAGAGTCACATAACAGAGTACTGAACTTAGGACCCGAAAATCTGTTTAAATCCTTGTGTCACCATTTACTAGCCATGTGACCTTGAATATGCTACTTAATCTGAGCCTCAGTTTCCACATCTGAAAATTAGGTACAACAGCTATCCAACCTAGGTAGTTCTCCATTACATTGTTGTGAGGATCAAAGATAGCCCATATGAAAGTGATCTAAATCTATAAAATGGTTTCAGATAATGTTTATTCTAGGCGTAGGCCAGGTTTGCTTACAACCAGGCATGGACCAGTTTCCTTACATCTGCTCCAGAGACACAGGTTATGGCACTAACCAGGCAAATAACTCAGTGACCATAAAGGAGTCCTGGTGCACGTATGAAAACTTCTAGGGGTGCTCACGATCGGGGTGCATCAGCATTCCACGTGGACAACACCCTCGCCTATTATAGATCTCTTGCTCCAGCGAAGTCAAGAGAAAAGGAAACCATCACTTAACGCTCTTCCTTTTGTGTGTCCATGTGAATTAGACTAGATAAAAACAGGATTCCACAGCCAAACCAGTTCTGATTAGGAGGGTGTAGAAACCAGTTACATTGCCTACCACTGGACTAGGAATCTGGGATAATTGTCAGTGTCCTCTTTTGTCCTTCCTTCAGTATATTAGATTGCTAAATCATTGTCAATACACCCACCTGATGAAATTAGGCCCAGGAGGCCACTATGGTTAATGTCAGGGATGAATCCAGGAATATACACAGAGGCCTCTGGCAGGGAAGCAGAGAACTAAGGTACTGGTCTAAATAGCTTAAACTTTTTCTTTAAAAAAAGAAAAGCTAGAACACAGGCAAAGGCTTACTGTTTCCAGCAAGTCTCCTCTCTCAAACTATAGAGATAATAATATTAATATTCATATCGCTAAGGAAGACACGACCTTGAGGCTAGCTTTATGTCTTCTAACTAGAAAGTGGTTATTTTCCTCTTAAAATTTGTCTACTTCTTCCCCCACCCCAAAACTATAAAAAAAAATTGCATAAATACCTATTTGGTGTGTTTACTTGTGACATAATCCTAACGTTAAAGATGCCACAGAGCAGAAAAAAGGCCTTAGGCAATCACCAAACAAAAGTTGTTCATGCAAGTATTTATTTCATGCTAAGAACACATATATTCTAAAGAAGAGACAATTAGGAAACAGAGATTTGTTTTCCTAAATAGAATCTTCATCTTAAAAAAAGTAGTGATTCAAACCTCCAAAACGTAAGAGCACAGGAATCAAGAAAAATGGAAAATGTATCTTATCCCTTACCTGAATTAACCTTAGAAGACCCAAGCATTCCCTTTCAGAAATATCAGTGTTGAAATTGTGCAAAAGACTGTACCCAGAGTGTTTAAACTATAAAACCAACACCTGGTTTAAAAAAAAAAACAAAAAACCAGTTGCCATCGAGTCAGCTCTGACTCGTGGTGAACCAACGTGTGTCAGAGTAAAACTGTGCTCCGTAGGGTTTTCAATGGCTAATTTTTTGGAAGTAGATTGCCAGGCTTTTCTTCTAAGGCACCTCTGGGTAGATTCAAACCTCCAACCTTTTGGTTAGTGGCTGAGCATATTAACAATATGCAGCACCCAGGGACTCCAATACCTGATTCAGACATGACAAAAATAAAAGCAGTAAAATAATATACAGTTTATAAATTCCAATGAAGTCTACTGCCAACCTGGCTGAAACCAGAGTCTCTGAACACTGAACAGTCACTGACAGGAAGGATAAAGTGCTATATCTCTGGTCGCAAGCAAATTAACTGATGCTCTATTAAAATTTCCAGGATTAAAGCCGAGGTAGTTTTCTGTAAAGAATGTTCTCCTTGAGAGCATGGCCAGCATGTGGTTGAGCCGGGACCTGATCCCAGCAAAGTGAAACTGCCTCTCTTTATCCAAGTTTCTAAATGAGTCTCTTAAGCATAGGTCTAAGTGGGGGGTGCTCAAGTACTTCGGATATCCAGGATTGTGGAAGTCAGTGGCTCTCATGGAAGTCTGGGAGCCAGTGGAGCTTGCCACTGAGCCTTGGGAAGACAAAGATGAGGAAGACTTCAAACTGGAAGATGTCGATACAGACATTTTTGATACTGGAGACCCTTCTTTAGACTGAGTTCCCTGAGAAAAGAGAATATTCTCATCCACATCAGTCTGGGTGGTGGCCGACTTGGACCAAATCGTGGTTTGAGAGCTGGCTACCCTGGTGGCGACTGTGGTTTGGGTCCCATTGGACGCTGTGCTGATCCTGGTCTGTGTCCCCATGTCACTTCCATGCACTGTTGGCATCTCTTCTCTTGGCTCCGTCTGAGTGGCAACATCAGTTGCCCTTCTGCTCTCTAGCTCGTCCTTGTGACTGTTTAAGTAGTCTTCCTCACCGATGGTGGAGGACTCAGAGTCGTGGCGCCTGGTCTCTGCCCTGCCCTCTGTGGGCACCTCTGGTTCCAGGTCAGTCTTCTTGGGGGTACTTGAGAGTCTGGCCAGCCGCAGCCTCAGCAGGTTGCCCAGTGTGAGTTCCTTGGATGGCGGCTTGTGCTCAACCAGATGGTCAAACTTGCTGCTGATCCGGAAGTTGCTCAGGAGTTTGGAGCTGATGGGCGTTGATTGTGCATATAGGATTCTGAACTCCAAATCAAAGTGTTCAACCACTTGGCCGGACAGGATTACCAAGTTACTGCTATTTAATTTGCCATCCGTCCATGTAAAACTTTAGGATTAAAAAACAAAAAAAAGAAGCTGGTAAGAATGAGCAATTTTAGTTTACTTATTGTCAATCAGCAAAATAAAGCCCAGATACCTGCCCATATAAGAATCAAAACTTTGGTGATCACTCTTTAGTCAAAGATTAGACAGGCCCATAAAACAAAATGAGACTAAAGGGGCACACCAGCCCAGGGGCAAGAACTAGAAGGCAGGAGGGGACAGGAAAGCTGGTAATAGGGAACCAAAGGTCGAGACCAGAGAGGGTTGACATGTCGTGGGGTTGTTAACTAATGTCATAAAATAATACATGTGCTAACTGTTTAATGACAAGCTAGTTTGTTCTGTAAACCCTTATCTAAAGTACAATTAAAAAAATTTTTTTAATTAAAAAAAAAAAAAACTTTGGTGATATCATACCTACCATTTAGTTATGAATTCAATTAGTCTTAACATGTATATATAACATACATGTGTTAGCATAAAAGTTAAAAGTCCAACTGTTTAATCCATACGTGAAAACCTATATATCCTCAGCCTCACAATTTTTACACACTAGAAAGGTATTTAGTCCAGTGAGGCAACAGGCTAGTGACAGCATCTAGGGAAGCCGTGGGAGACCCTCAGATAGGCTCCCGCTCTGACGAATGAATTGCTATCGTAGGGCTCCTTGCTGCCTTTTTCAGTGCTGCCATTTTCACAAAAGGAGACAATACTGCTATTGTAATGATGATGTCATTGCACAAAACATGTTTAGAGCTGAGGAGTGGCCATCCGTCCTTGTCTGCCTCGCACCCCTTCCCTTTCCCCTGGTAACAACCCATTCCTGCCCCTACCCGAGAAAGCTTTCCTTTATGCACCCTCTCCACCCACAACAAGCATGGGCATATGACCCAGGCTGGTCAGAGTATCCTATCCTCTTGGATGTGGAGATTCACTCACATGGGCATGTGAACCAATTACAGCCAAGTAATTTTTCAAAAACTGATTTTAATGCGGAGAGTAAGAAAGTCTCCCTCTTTTGGAAATAGCTGCTAAAGGCCACATAAGCCTGGATCTTTACCTTCAAATGGAGAGCCTGCCTGAGAATAAAGATTAATTACAGAAAAGCAGGACCAGGAGACAGTGTTCTGATAGATGTATCGCCCCTAGGTCAAGTTGAGTTGGAAACCAATTATACCTTTCTACACTTCCAAGTTATGTGAGTCAATAAAATTCATTTTGCATGAAGTGTTTGAGTTAGCTTTCTGACACTTGCAATCACCCCACTGATACAGAAATTTGTACCAGGGATAGGCTGTTTTAAACAAGAAATCATAAAACATCACCAACTCTGTCTCTTGCAAACAAGAATCCCAGCTGATGCAAATTCCACTTTCAGAATTGCCTTCAAAGCTTAAGAAGGAATATTCTTTTGAAAACCCTCAATGAGATAATGTAACAAAACCCCTATCCAGTACCTGGATTATAAAAGGTCCTCAACAAATGGAAGCTATCACCACCATCATCATCAACGGTAACATAGCTTCATGTGTAGAGAGTAGTTTTTATACTTTCAGACTTTAGAACAGCCAAAAACCATTTGGAGCTTAGTCTGATTAATACAGATAAATCCTACTTTAGGTCAAAATCTAGTTTCCTCCTGTTACTTGTAAACTTCTTCTGACAGGAAGCCTCAAGAAAGAGTTCGAATTTTGTTCTGAGCAATGCTGGTATTGTTTGAAAAGAAAGGCGTCTGGAGTTTTGTAATGTTAGCACCTCATCTTTCACAAACTTTTGCATCCCCACCTTTTCCCAGGGCTGACACATAATTATCACCTGGAATGTGTGTTTCTTCAAAATGTGGGGTTTTTTTTTTTTAACTCTACAGACACGCCTCATGCATACCATCAGACAATCTAATATAGAGGCAGCAAAACACACCACCATCGGAGCCACGTAAGTAAAAATGGCGCATCTTAACTTCTGAAGATTACTTTAAGCACCATTATCCCCATCTTCTATTCAACTTCCCTGTGCTCTCTACTTTCAGATGCCACTGCCAAAGTGAGACTTCAAAGATGGGGTCAGAAACATGGATCAGTATTTTCTACACTAAAGTGCAAAATTACAGGGCTTGAAGCAAAATAAAGGATTTAAGTCTGAAGAGAACAGCTTCTGTTCTGCCTTCAACACCGAAGTTAAAACATGACCAGGGCATATACCAGGGGAAGAGAACTTCCTGATTTTCTCTCCCACTAGGGACAGCCATCTCTGCCTTTATCTGTAGCCCCCAACCCCGCCCCTTTTCACCAACAAACATGAACCGGCTCTGCAGGAGTCAACAACCCAGAGGTAGGGAAGGGTGTCACAGGCAGCCCAGGCTTGCTTTGATATAAAATGTGCTATCTTCTTCTGATATTGGGCTGCTTGCTACCTGCAACTGTCCTTACCTTCCAGTGAGCAAGGACAAGTAGGGTCAAAATTCCCAAGGAACCAGGATTTGATATTGTTCCTGTCACTATTAATACCCAATTCAGTCTGCTGTAAGGCCTGGACCGAGGCTTGAATCTAGGACTCGCTCACTGTGTGGTATCAAGGCAAGTTTCCATCTCTGCTCTTCAGCTTTGTGGATGGCAGGGAAGGGACCCCTACCCTCGACTACCTCCTACTGAGGGCTGCTTTGATTAACCAACTCACACTCACAGACACAGACAGAGGAATGCTTGTACATAAAGGCTCTCATTGAGAGGCAAAAATAAGCTTTTAGCTTTACATAACATGCATCTTCTAAAGAGTTTATTATGCATAGACATGTTAGAAATTTACCTGTAAGAGCCTGTTGCCACTCGAATGCCATCAATCAATGTGAACTTTTCATGAACCTTCCCAACAATTTTAGTACCCGACCTTGCATAGTAGATATTTCCTGTAATAGTCCGAACTGTCATCAGCTGTTGGGAGAGTGGGAGAAAAAATAGATGAACAATCCAGTGACACTTATCCAGTGAGTAAATGATTAAGACAAGAGGGCTTGGGTTACAATTCCCAAACAGACAAACTTCTTGGTGGATGAATGGCTTAGGGTCATCATTCAGTAATAACACACATGAGGTACTAGCCAGATGATTCTCAGGCTCAAGTCCATTTACTCCCTGGTAATGCTACCATATGGGGCAGCTCTACTCTGTCCTATAGGGTCCGACAGGGTCGCTATGAGTCGCAATCAACTCAACGGCAATAGGTTTTTTTTAATGCTAGTCCATCTTCTCATATGTCCTTTTCTTATGTTTATTTTTGAGACCCTTAATTCATGTGTGTATGTGCTCGAAAAGAAGAATCCCATTTGGGGGATACCAGACAACAGAAGCCAAGAATTTACTTTGAAACAAAATGTGGACGATAAAATCACCAAAGAAAATCACACTGGTAATAACATTTTAACAAAGACTTAAAGAAGCTAAACTGATTATCTCCTACTCCTTTATTTAATGGCATTTACTAATGAATAACAGCCCATCTTCACTTGCCCCCCACCATAATGGGTATGGAGAATAGGGACATAGGACATATCTTCTCTAGCGCAGGATTTCTGAAGCAGAAACACTCACATGTGGCTCAGTCAGCAATGTCATATCTCCTGTTGCTTGTGAGGTGCCATCGAGTCAGTTCCAACTCATAGCTACCCTCTGTACAACAGAACGAAACACTGCCCGGTCCTGCACCATCTTCACAATCACTGTTATGTTTGAGCCCATTGTTGCAGCCACTGTGTCAATACATCTTGTTGAGGGTCTTCTTTTTTGCTGACCCTCACTTTGCCAAGCATGATGTCCTTCTCCAGGGACTGATCCCTCCTGATAACATGTCCAAAGCATGTGAGACGTAGTCTCGCCAACCCTGCTTCTAAGGAGCATTCTGGCTGTACTTCTTCCAAGACAGATTTGTTCATTCTTTAGGCAGTCAATCGTATATTCAGTATTCTTCTCCAACACCATAATTCAAAGGCATCAATTCTTCTTCAGTCTTCCTGATTCATCGTCCAGCTTTCACGTGCGTATGAGGCGACTGAAAACACCATGGTTTGGGGTAGGCGTGCCTCAGTCTTCAAGGTGACATCCTGGCTTTTCAACATTTTAAAGAGGTCTTTTAGAGCAGATTTGCCCAGTGCAATGTGTGTTTTCATTTCTTGACTGCTACTTCCACGGTGTTGATCGTGGATCCAAGTAAAATGAAATCCTTGACAACATCAATCTTTTCTCCGTTTATCATGATGTTGCTTACTGGTCCATTTGTGAGGACTTTTGTTTTCTTTTTGTTGAGATGTAATCCATACTGAAGGCTGTGGTCTTTGATCTTCATCAGTAAGTGCTTCAAGTCCTCTTCATTTTCAGCAAGCAAGGCTGTGTCATCTGCAAATGCAGTTTGTTAATGAGTCTTCCTCCAATCCTGATACCCTGTTCTTCTTCATATAGTCCAGCTTCTCGAATTATTTGCTCAGCATACAGATTGAATAGGTACGGTGAAAGCATACAACCCTGACACCCAGCTTTCCTGGCTGCAAGGACATATTTACCAAAAAGGAATAATGGTAGTACACTGGGGTTATATGTGTATGCATAATTATTGATGTAAAATGACATACATAAATGTATGTACAATGGTATGCAAAATACTAAAACAATTTGATTTCTTTGGAGCAGACCAGTAGCTACATATTTTTAGGAATCTTACACATTCAAATTAAAGGTTTAAGATTTTTGTTTGACTTTTCATTCACTCCTCAAACACGGAGGCCCTACTATGTGCCAAGCTCTGGGGCAATAGAGATAGTCAAGGAGTAGAATAGAAAACAGAAAGTAACTGGATGATTAAAAAACTATGGCAAGACTTAACATCATCCAGAGAAATGAAAACCTATGTCCACACAAAAACCTGTACATATTCACAGCAGCTTTATTTGTAACAGCCCAAAACTGAAAACTATCCAAGTGTCTTTCAATGAGTGAATGATTAAACAAACTATAGTACATCCATACCCATGGAATACTACTCAGCAATAAAAGGGACACACTACTGATGCACGAGACAACTTGTGTGGATCTCAAGGGCACTGTGCTGAGTGAAAAAAGCCAATATCAAAAGGTCACATACTGTGTGATTCCATCAACATAAACCAAAAACCAAACCCACTGCCATTGAGTCTATTCCAATTCATAGCGACCCTATAGAACAGAGCAGAACTGCACCATAGGGTTTCCAAGGAGCACCTGGTAGATTCGAACCATCAACGCAACATTCTCTAAATGACAACATCACAGAGATGGAGAACACTGCAGTGGTTGCCAGGGGTTAGGGATGGCCCAGGGGTGGGGGTGTGACTATAAAGGGGTAGCAAGAGGGAGATCTTTGTTGTGATGGGACAGGGACAGTTCCGTATACTGATGGCAGTGGTGGCTACATCAGTCTACACGTGTGATAAAATGGCACAGAATTATAGACGTGCATTGTATCAATGTCAGTTTTCAGGTGTTGATATTACTACAAGTTACATAAGATGTAATGGGGAAACTGGGTAAAGGGTACACAGAATCTCCCTGTACTATGTTTGTACCTTCTGTGAATCTATAATTATTTCAAAGTAGAAAGTTCAAAATAAAACAAATAAACAAAAACTATGACAATACATAACATCACTTCTGTGGTACTCTTACCAAAAATGTATAACCTAAATTTAATCACGAGGAAACGTCAGACAAACCCACATTCTACAGAAAACTGGCCAGATTTCTTCAAAAATGGCAAGACCCTAAACAAAGAAAGATGGGGGAATGGTTCCAGATTAAAGGAAACTAAGGAGACATGATGACTAAATGCAAGGTGTGGTCCTGGATTGGATTCTGGGCCAGAAAAAAGGGCATTAGTGAGACAAAGGGTGAAATTCATAAAGTCTGTGTAGATTAAACAATAGTATTACATCAAGGCTAATTTCCTGATTTTGATATTTGATACAATTTGATAGGGTATTTCTTTAGGTTTGTAAAATATTAATATTTGGAGACTTTGGGTGAAGAGTATATGGGAATTCCTTACGCTATTTTTGTAACTTCTTTGTAAATCTTCAATTATTTGAAAATGAAAATTTAAAAAACAAAAAAATCTAGGAAATTCATAGAAGTACACAGTGACATGGTGGTGGGAGGGCTTCCTGGAGGAGGTGATGATTCCTTAGCCAAGGCTTAAAGGACCAACATATAATAACCAGCATAAAAAATAATCACTATGGGCAGGTTTAGGTGTGGTTGTGTCCTTCCCTTTGGCACACATTTACATGTTGTGCAGGCCTCTGTGACTGTGGCCAAAGCACTCTGGAGTGCCTACATATGACAGCGTGACTGAGTCCCTGCAGACAGGACACCAAGCACAGAGCCAGAACAGGGGGAGTCAGCCCTTACTCGGCGAGGGCAGACAACCAGCACAGATACCACCAGGTAAGAGAAGCAGCCAGAGCAGACGATGCTTCCCTAGGAAGGAATGAGAGACCCTAAGTTGGTGAGGCTGGAGGGGCAAACCTCCTTTGGGCCCCATCCCAGAGGATTTGGATACTCATGAAGGCAGCAACCAATGCCGGCAACCGAGTCAGTAAATACTCCTAGATTTCTGCCCAGCAGATGAACCACAGCCAATCACTTTGCTCAAAGTTGTGGCCAGAACTATTCTGTGATTTTTCTGCTGCTAGCACCCTGCCTCAATTATAGAAAAAGCACCTTGAAATTAAGCATCCACACCTTCAATTTCTTCAAGCCAGCTCTATATGAGAGCAGCCATGGGCTGAATACTTCTTAGATTATAATGCTCTTTCCCAGGTCTGACTTGCGTTTTCCTTGGGTCCACTGATCTCATCTTTTAATTGACTGTTGGGTCAACTGGCTGTCTCCTTTAATTCAATCTCTGAGCTCCAATTCTAGCACGCCAGCATGAATTTGCCTTAAACCCAATCCTTAGCTTCCTCATCAAGGGAAAAAACCAGCAAGCACTCTGAGGGAGAAGTTAAATAACCAAACTTTCGCAAACCAATTGCTTGGTAATAACAAGGTGGTAAGTTTGTGTCCCGATGGGCAGTACAGTAACCTGTAGTATCACAGCCCAAATTCTTTCTTTGTTCTGCTTACTGCTTTACCTCTGGAACCCAGAAGAGTGTCTGGCTCATAGCAGACGCTCAAATACTTGATGAATGAAGTTCCAAAGCTTGCGGGTGAAGTTCATTAATTTAAAAAAAAAAAAATGAACTGTTCCAACACCCATTCATGATAAAAACTCTCAACAAAACAGGAACAGAAGCGAAATTCCTCAATATAATTAAGGGCATTTATACAAAGCCAATAGCCAACATCATCCTAAATGGAGAGACTCTGACAGCATTCCCCTTGAGAACGGGAACCAGACGAGGATGCCCTTTATCACCACTCTTATTCAACATTGTGCCAGAGGTCCTAACCAGAGCAATTAGGCTAGAAAAAGAAATCAAGGGCATCCAAATTGGGAGGGAAGAAATCAAAGTATCTCTATTTGCAGATGATATGATCTCATACACAGAAAACCCCAAAGAATCCACAAGAAAACTACTGCAACTAATAGAAGAAATCAGCAAAATTTCAGGATACAAGATAAACAT